AGACCCTACTGGCACCATCTTGCAGGATCTTCCACACGCCTGGAGGCAAGTCGGCACGTTCTCTTCACCCCGCAGATGTAACCAGACTCTTCCCCCCCCCCCCCCCCCCTCACACAGGAATGCTGTTTTTGGCGCCTGCCACATGGAAGCGGGGTAGCTGGAGTCCACTCTTCTTTCCCCAACTTTACTCTGGTGTTTTGGCCTTGTCATCCATGTTACACTGCCCCCTTACCAATCCTTTTCGTCCCGAAAAAGGACTGATTTCACCAGTAACGCTGATCGGCGGCCCTTTGATCTCCCTGACGTTTCTGGCCACATGAGGCTCTTCAGCCTCCCGGAAGCGTTGCGGCAGGATTAGCGCCAAACCTTGTTTTTAGAGCCAAATCTCAACTCAGGTTTTATTCCCACTCTGGGCATGTGGATCGTCGATCTCTACAGTGGATGCGTCCACCTGATGCATCCATATCGTGGCCTTCCAGCACGTATTCGTCCTTGTTAGACGTCCAGAGGTGGTCGGGAAAGTTCTTTTCTTCTGTCGGTTTCCCATTGTCTTTCTTTAGAAGTTCTCTCTTTCGAAACCCTTCAGACCTGGGCTTCTTCGTGCCGACCCCGCACTGGGCTGTGAACTTCTTAAAGCTGCTAGAGGTGTCGGATCACGTGGTAGTGTCAACTTCGATTAACTCTTTCTAGGCGGCGGCTGTTGGATCTGCACCTTGTCGAGCGAAGGAACGAGGATGATAGGTACACATTATTGGCACATATTTTCAACTTGTTTCGCTGGACGATGGCGCTGACACATTGCGCACTACTTCCGCGTCACAGACATTGTCGTCGGATTCCAACAGAGCGTCCAATGCTCTATCCCGTTCAGTCTTGTCTTGTCGCACTTTCATGGAGCATCCAGCTCCGTCCATTCCAGTTGGATCGCCGCTGTAGTCCCTGACAGTCCGGCACCGTCGCAGAAGTAAGCCACGCTGTCGCATTGCAGCTCACCAATATCGTTGTTGTTTTCATGGATTATTTCAGTAAGAATCCCAGGGGTTGAGTTTCCGCACTGTATTTCATCTGGAGGACACTCTCCTTCCGTCCACTTGATTTGGTTCACAACACTCGTGCCACAGCCGTTGTCGAAAGCGATTAGCTCGCCCTCCTTCGCTACACAACCAGTTTGGATAATTTACTGCTGTTAACACTCTGCGGACTTCTGTATCACGGAAGAATCTTCTAGCGTAGATTCTGACAGTCCACTTATGACGTCTCCCGACATTATTGCCGGTTCCTTCATTACCTGGACTCGTCTTTTGTCCCCTCAGACTTTGAATACGCGTACTATTGGTTGCTGTGGTTGTTTTTGTAAAGCCATCAGAATTTTTCTGGCTGGTTTACATTAATCTTAACTTCCCAAGAAATGGGTGTGGCAGAATGTTTGTCATTCCGATTATGTTCGAGTCGACTCAATCGAGATTCCAATGAATAACGCATCTATTTTCTTGTTAATCTGACTAAAGAAGTTTCTGATCAATTTCTTTCATTCTTCAGTCTCAAGGTCGATTAGTTCTTCCATCTTGTTTTTAAATTAGCGCGAAACAAAATCTTCAATTAAAATTAACTAAGCTGCAATCTCCGCTTCTGACACCAAATGTTACGTCATACCCAGACGCTATTCGTGTACTTTTTCTAATCAGGATGCCACAAAGATACACATGTGAGTTCGTAAGGATGCAGCTAAAGTTAGCGCTTTATTATGTCTCAATGAACAGAAAGAATACAACGAGTGGGACTTGCCTTCAACCTCCCCGTCAGAAGGATCCTTGACGCCGTGGATGTCACTCTTGGGAAATCTTCCGCTCCACACTAAACAAGTCCAGCTTGAACTACACCAGTTTGTAGGCCGCTCCGATGTCAGGCCCTCCTGGCACCACCTTGCCGGACCATCCACACGCCCGGAGGCAAGTCGTCACGTTCTCTTCTCCCCGCAGATGTAACCAGACACTGTCCTCCCCCACACAGGAATGCTGTTTTTAGCGCCTGCCATATGGCAGCGGGGGCAGCTGGAGTCCACTCCTCTTTCCCCAACTTTACTCTGGTATTTTGGCCTTGTTATCCATGTTACACTATTGTAAGAGGTTATTCCTTCAATTGTTTTCTCTCTTGTGATTCAATAAAGACAATATTTGATCAATCTTCTTGTAATCAGTATCTTTAAACAAAGTCAACAAAAGCTGGCAAAAGTCAATATTTTAATTTTTCTGTCAATTTCTGTAATCTGATCCAAATATCATTAATAGCAATCTATATACTCGAATTTATTTTTATATATCCTAATTTTCAGACTTCTGGGTGATCACAAAGTGGTCGAGAACGGAAACATTTTCGAATTCCCTTTCAAATGTTATAAGTTTAATATGCTTCCAGACCATATTGATGTCTTAAATTTTTAACACTCGCTCAGTTAAACTAACAATGCATGGTTGGGACTGAAAAATAATCTATATTTACTATTAAATCTTTAAGTTTTGCACGTTTTCAACTCAAAAAAGGTTCGCAGTAATGACTTGAATTCTTCTGTAATTATTATAAGACTTCAAATAAGGATGAAATCCAAATATTTAGGTTCTTTCGAATTAAAAGCAAAAATCTGTCAAAAATCAAGATATATATCTATCTGTTATAATTTAGTAATCTGTTTCCAATATCATTATGCCCAAATTTATATTTCAGCGTAAAGTTAGCTCACCGAGTTATGTAAATAATACCAATTTTGCGCAGCAATCCCGCGCATGTTGATTGAGATAGAACTTGCAAAATTTTTAATATTCGCACCTCTTTGTATGAATGCCAGGCCACCGCCAGCCGAGGCGGTTCCAGCATACAGAAAATTTCACGACAGGCATGATGATTGGACACAGAAGGGCCGGTTGGTCCATACGTCAAATCACTACGGTCAGATACTTCGACGCGTCCACAGTGCCCCGGCTATGACGAAGATGATTGGAACAAGGAAATGTAGCACGATTGAGAAGTGCTGTGCGGCCAAATTGACGTCAGCACACGTGAACCGACGCATCTGCCGAATGGCGTTGGGGGTCCCACAGTCCACTTCTGTAGCCATTTTTCACTATGTGCATAAAACTCTTGATTCTACCCAATCGACTAGAACCATTATGCACAAATGTATCGCCAGCGGCCTACACTCATTGCGCCCATTAACAAGACCGCCTTTGACCCAACGGCACAGACAACTGTGTTTGCAATTTTGTCTGGATAGAGCCACATGGACAGCAGAATGGGACAAGGTAGTGTTTTCAGAATCCCGCTTCGGTTTTAGGAATTACAGTCACCGAGTAGGAGTTTGGCGCTGTCTCAGTGACAGGCCACATCTGTGAAACGCCGCACCTGACGACAACGCAGCATTATGGTTGGGGGGAGCCATCGCCTATGATAGCAGATCACCTCTGATTCGTATTGAGGGCACTATGGTGCATCGCGACGAGCAGTTCGCGAGGGTAGCGGCCGTTTTCGAGGAATTCCACCGATCCTCTAGGTTCGCCGTGAACTATGGAAAGAACTCGGGCTCCTCCTGTGGTGCGGTTTGGTCGCCTGGCGCGAACGCGGCGACTCTCCCCTCGGTGCTTCTAGGTCAAATTCCTCGATCCAGATCCTAAGGACAGGAATCGCCCTAAGGAACTCTGCCGCCCACCGGGAACACCATCTCCTGGCCCTCCTGGAGTCTGCCCCTGCCGGAAATGGGTGCCCTTCACGCGCGCCCTTTCCCTTGTCGGACGAGCTAGGGCCGTCAATTCCCTGGTTCTCTCGGCCATCCAGCACAACCTCCACGCGTACTTGGCCGAAGCTACGACCATCTCCAAGATTCAGGTTCTTTTGGCGAGATTTATATGGGGGCACGAACATACGGCATGGCTTTCTGCTGGCGCCCTAGCAAGGCCCGTGGTCACGGGGGGCGGGACTCGGCTTTATTGACTTCGGCACACAACTCCATCTCGCGTGCTTAAAGGGTGTTCAGGTAGTGCTACACGGAGGGGAAAATTGGCTTCTCTTGGCTGGTGACAGGCGACGCCGGGCTAAATCCTCCACCCGACGGCACCAGAATCCAGCCCTGGCGTCTTCGGCTGCTGGGACTTTGGAATAATATATCAAACTTCCTCGGCCTCAACATCCGGGTGGTCCACACGAGTCAGCTGCCGGATCTCCCCATCATCGGCGGCTGCCGGTTCCTCCATCCCCCGAACCTCCTGGTTCCCACGCATTTGGTCGGCGCCCGAGTTCTGGACCCGAGCGAAATTTCCATCGTCCGCCTTATGCGCTCCACTCTCGCTGAGGCCACAGCCCTCGCCGCCTTCTGCCAGAGAATGGTGGCTGAGAACCTCCAGGCGAGCTTCCAGGAGCCCAGTCTGGCCAAGGCCGTTGACCTGCGCGAGACGACCACGCAGTTCATCAGACTCACCACTTGCTCGGGCTGTCGCGCATTAGAACACCCGTGCCTTGCGGCCCTGCCGATCACCCGGTTCCTGGAGAGATAGGTGTCCACCGTCGATGTGCCGGTCAGGGTTGACTGGTCCTCGCTCCGACGCGGCGCCTTCTAAGGACACAATGGAGATGCCACCCTCCGATTGGTACTGCATGCCCTGCCTCACCCAGACCATCCAGCATCTGCCGGTCCGTCCTGCCCTGCGGGTCCGACGACGGCTCCGATACTGGGGCTGCCAAACCTCAGGCCCCTCGTCCGGGAGGCTTCAGCATCATCGGGACATCCCCTGACCTACAGATTTGAATCTTCGGAACCAGCCTTGAAGACGACGACCTAGCCATCCTTTTGACAGCAAAGGCCCGAATCCACCGGTACTTCGTACAGGTTGGCCTGGGTGATGAAATTGAGGACCCCCTCATCGTGAGGAAGGTAACACTTGTGCTGTGGGGAAGACTCCCCGGCTAAAAATACGAAATTATAAATATTTATTCATTTTTGAATTATCATATAAGGCAGAATAGCTCAGTTGCGAAAGCCTTAGACTGAAAATTTGAACCTCCCTGGTTCGAACCCGCGTTTCGGCCTCTTTATTTATTCAAATTATTTTTGCGATCTCTTATCGATTTTGTAAATTTTGACTGAGGAGTCAATAAATTTGTTTTAATTGCAAAATTTTCACACACAGGTGCCACACTTTCCTGTGTGTTATAGTAACATAGTTTTTTTTATGATGCATTAGCGCGCCATCTGTTATCAAAATTCGAACCTATTATAGATGCTTATGATTCTTTTAAAAATAAACAAATTCTACTGCCCTTACTGCAATGGAAAAATTAATGAATGATGAACCAGGCCCTCCCGTTAATTTTTCCATTGCAGTAAGGGCAGTAGAAATTGTTTATTTTTTTTAAATAATCATACGCGCCTATAATGGTTTCCAATTATGATAGTTTTTTTGTTGTTGAGGTAAACATGGTAGAACCTACTCTTAGACAAGAAATGAATGGCAATGCAGTTATCGTCTCCTTGGCTGTAGACACACAGATTCAGAAACTGCTGCATTCTTGAAAGTCGCCCGATCATTTGTTTTCAAAGTTCGGAGAGAATTGGGAGCTGTAAAGGGTGATGTGGCGGAAGTTTCCCAAAGGAAACATGAAAACTAGATGATAGACCATATTGGAGGTGAGGCCGCAAATTTATTGTATCCTACCTTACCTACCACAGTGAAATAAGAAAAACTACATTGACGTAAATATAGACCTGGCAAGTCCTCATGAAGAAGATATCTCAACTGAAAGAAGCATCCACCGCAGACACCTGAAGAGATCTCTGGCTCTATTAATAGTTCTTGAGACTAAGACTAAGTCTCCAGCTGAGCATCGGGTCGATGCTCTTTATAGGAGGAGGCTATGTGTGGCGAAGAAATACTTTGCATTTTATTATTTAACTAGACGAATGGCCCGGGCAACGCCCGGGTTTTACCCGAGTGCGCATATATTTTAAAAACGTTTTAATTCAAATACTATTCGTTACAATTATAAATTGGCGCCATGTATGTCACTCTTGTGAAACGTCCCGTTCCAAACTGTGTGTTTTTAAAATGTTTTAATTAAAATACTATTCGTTACAATTATAAATTGGCGCCGTGGATGTCTCTCTTGTGAAACGTCCCGCCCCAAACTGTGTGTGTCTTGAAAATATAAAAATAAAAATGTGAATTTTCATAAAAATTTCATCATGTCGATTTTTTTTTTTTGCATTTCACCTACTAAATCGATAGAGATAATTACATTTGCAACATGAACTTAGGTATATTGACTAAATAGAAAACTGCATAGTAATAAAGATCATTTTTTAAAGGCACCATATAGTTTTTTTTTCAATAAAATCGAAACAAAAATTAACGATAAATAACGATAATTGCCTTAAAAAGAAATTGCCTTAAAAAAAAGAAACATTCGCGGTGATTTTGTCTTGCATTCGTTTATACAATTATTATATACGAATGACCCGGGCAACGCCCGGGTTTTACCCGATTAAATGCTTTTATTCAAATACTATTCGTTACAATTATAAATTGGCGCCGTGGATGTCATTCTTGTATAATATATAAATGAGTTTTAAAAATTGTAAAAAAAAAAAATGCATCGGCCGGGAATCGAACCCGCGTGGCAGGCGAGCATTCTACCACTGAACCTCCGAGGGTTATGAAAAATCCCATCCGTGAGCTTCAGACAAACAAACAAACAGACAAACAGACAGAATAAGGCAAATATATAAGTAGATTTACTTTTTCAATGAATATATTTGAAACAGATTTTTTTAGTACTTTATATTTGTAAAATCATCATTTAGTTGCCTTGCTTGCTTGCTCGATATTCTCTAGCTGTAGATAGTTTTTTTTTAAATTTGTTATGATTGTAGGATAGTCGTACAGACGCCACACATCAATAAATACTTTGACATCTTAAGATAATCCAAGACTAATTTTCTACGCTACAATATACTATATATATATATATATATATATATATATATATATATATATATATATAGTGTAGAAACTATATAACAAAATAAATAACAGTGATTCTACTTTTAAAACTTAAGGAGCAAACTGATAAGAATGATAACTCATATCAATTAGATTTGATTAGATTAGCAAGCTAAATCTAAATAAATTATAATAATAAATAGTTATTTAGTTTTATAGTCCAGTTTTGTATTAAGATTATCTTCACTATTATGATCATTTAAATTCAAATTATAAAATTTGTAAAATGTTATTAATTTGTAGATAGAGAGGAAAAAAAATCCTTTACTTCTAATACATCATCAAGTTAATTATATATTTATAATTAATAACAATAAAAATTAACAACGTAACGTCTTTTGCATCGGCTTTTACACGTCATTTAGACATACTCTATCCAATATATAGAATAATAGAAGTGATAATATATTTAATATTATAAATTTTAGTAGTTAGAGAAAAGAGAGAAAGACAGAACCATGCACTTTTAATCAAACTAATAATAAGGAGAAAAAAAGGTTTGTAAAGAAGGTAGATAAGATTGTTAGTATATATATATATTTTTTTATAATTTTATATTTTATCCTTTTTTTAAAAATATTTTTTAAGGTTTTTTTATTTTATAATATGATTATAAATAGTTGTATTTAGTAATATATCTATATTATGAATTAACATTTGTTATAAGTTTGGTTATTATGTTTTGAAACCCTAATGGTAGACCAGACATACACAAAAAAATTTAAATTGAAATAAATTGGAAAAAGAGATCTGCTGGACCGGGGATCTTCAGATAAAAGCCCAGCTGACATTTCACCCCTTCTTTATTATGTCATAGACCTCTTTTAAACCGGATTTTATGTGTTAATATTAAGTTATTTCAGTGAAATATTTAAATGAACATATATAACAGATACAAGTGTTAAGAAATTCAGACTGTAAACCTACCTCGACCGCGGCGTCCTCCATTGTGAATATCTATTTCTGGCTGAGACATGTTGCGGGGGGGGACATTTCAAATTTAGACCATTTATTCTGAATTTTTTTAACAACAAGACAATTAAAGAAGAAAGGAAAAATAGTTAAGGGAAGAAAGCTAAATTTATAATCTTTACAGCTAGTTATATCAAAATAACTGATTCAACACTTATTCATCTTTTAATATTCCTTTAAAAAGGCAAATTATAAGAGTTTAATAAAGCTATTAAATGTGCAAATTCACCTTTATTTAACTTCCATTTTCCTCCCCAGAAATTGGAGATTAAACAAAATGAACTCTATACTACAACACTTTAAAAATCTTGTGAAAAAATATTTTAATCAGCTATTTAATCAAAGTTTAATTAACTGTTAAAGAATATAAATTTGTATTAGTTATTATTAAGAGAAATTATAGAAAGTTGATTTCATAAATGGATATTTCCATTTATTTTTTTTTTTTAATATTTTATAATTGATATACTGTTGAAATATTTTACTTGTCTGATACTAAATTTGTTTTTAATAAATTCCATGTTTAAATTTTTAACATCTTCTATGAAATTATCTAATATATTATTTATTCTATAAAATCTTAGAAACTGACCAAAATACACTGCGTGACATTGAAAATGGAACACCAAGAAATAGTGGCCAGAAAGTGATGAAACTCGGCAGACAGAGAGAGACAGGGACGAACAATAAGTGATCTTTATTTCAAAATGATAGTCATAATACAGAGCGAGAACGGCGTCGGCTTAGTAGCAAGTAGGACCACCGCGTACGGCGATGCACGCAGCAACACGTCTAGGTAGAGAGTCAATCAGAGTACGGATGGCGTCCTGAGGGATGGCTCTCCATTCCCTCTCAACCATTTGCCACAGTTCGTCTACTGAACGCGGCTGTGGCAAGGCATGCAAACGGCGTCCAATGATGTCCCAGACGTGCTCGATTGGTGAGAGATCAGGAGAGTACGGTGGCCAGGAAGGCATCTGTACATCTTGCAGAGCTTGTTGGCTAATGCGAGCAGTGTGCGGTCGGGCGTTATCCTGCTGATAAAGGGCATTGGGTACCCCCTGAAGGTAGGGGAGTGTCACCGGTCGCAGCACATCATCAACGTATCGTTGGGCCGTCATAGTGCCCTGAATACGAAGTAAAGGTGACCTGGAATCATACGCGATTGCGCCCCAAACCATGATTCCACGTTGTCGCACGGTGGGGCGTTCCACAATTGCTGCCGGATTGGACCTTTCTCCACGTCGACGCCACACGCGTACACGGCGACTATCACTGGACAAGCAGAAACGCGACTCATCTGAGAACACGACCCTGTGCCATTCCGTCATCCACGTCGATCTAGCCCGGCACCATTCCAAACGTTGGCACCTATTCGGTGGGGTCAATGGCAGTCTTCTTAGCGGACGGCATGAGTGCAAGCCATTAGCAACCAATCGACGGGAAATGGTTCTGGTCGAGATGGAATGATCTAGGGTGTCTTGCACATGTTGCAGGATGGCGGTACAAGTGGCTTGTGGGGCCGCCACTGCTTGTCGAAGGATACGCCGATCCACACGTGCTGACGTCACTCTGGTTGCACCGACATTCCTATAAATTGCCACATTTCCTTGTTCCAACCATCTTCTCCACAGTCGGTGCACCGTGGACGCAGCACGGTGTGTATCAGCTGCGATTTGACGTATGGACCAACCTGCCCTTTTCAGTCCGATCACCATGCCCCTCGTAAAAGCGTCTGTCTGCTTGAACTGCCTCCGTTTACGATGACCTGGCATTCTCTGTTATTACACGTGTCTTTTAAAACAGGAACAAAATTTATACAATGATTTTCCTTGAAGAAATAACGACACGAATACTGTCCTTTCTGCAAGTTCCTTCCCTTATATCTTACTCCATGTGCGCACGAGAGCTGCGCATTTTACATCATTTGCATAACTCGGTTAGGCGCGTCTACCCTGAAATTTGCATGATTTTCTGGCAACTATTTCTTGGTGTTCCATTTTCAATGTCACGCAGTGTATATACCCTTACGGCAATTTAATGATATATTAGAATTCAT